AGCTTTAATAAGAATAAGGATGTTCATACCTTAAACACTAGGAACAAACATAAGCTTGTAATGCCACTTACAAGACTCCACAGAATTAGTAATTCATTTATGGGGCAATGTATACGCTTTTACAACAGAATCCCAGAACATGTTCAAAGTTTGTCAATAAACAAGTTTAAAAGTTTTATTAAAGAAAAACTGTACAAAAAGGGTTATTATAATATCAAGGAATACATGAGTGAAAATAACCCCTGGGAATAAGGTGATCGCCACCATGCTGGTTCTATGAAAATTCATTTAAAATTGTATAATCAAAATTATTGTTAAGTGAAATTATGTTTAAAAAAAAAAAGTCCCGCTGGGTTTCTTGCTGGTTCTTCCCAGGACAGAGGTATTTTCCGAACCAGTGGTAAATAAAATAATGACTTTCAATAAGTATTATGTAATAATCCATATTGAATAAAAATCATTCTATTCTATTATTCTATTCTTACATAATAAGCACACTATACTCTCGGAAATATTATTAATATTCTAGATCTACTATACTAACAATGAAAATCAAAGTTAAAATAATGATTTCTTATATTTACTCGAACACTACACATTGAATAAAACTACTTTTACGGATTCTATCGCGTTTAATTAACTTGTTTTTTATTAATTCACGATGTTTCGGGTACTATACAGCACCCATGGTCACGGGGGACTGAGGTGAATGACGCCCCGATGTCAGAGTTAACGCGCCCGTTAAAAGAGTTAACACCTTCAGCTTTTGTAATTATTAATTTTGGTCCGATCTACGCAGAATTAACTTACTGTGTCTTGAAGTCTTGCAGTGGTCTGCTTGGATTTAGTTTTAATTTTATTAATTACAGGATCCCAAGCTGGTGGTAGTACTCAGCCTCCCTCTCTATTGTAATTAAGATGTTTTTAATTTCAATAGCCTCACGTTGGACATCGGTCCTTGGCAGGAATCGATGTTCTTTCGCGAGAATTTGTGGTTTATCAAATCTAATGTACTCGTAATGGCGGGGGCCGTTTAGAATATGATCATTGATCACAAACTGCAGACTTCCCGGAACGTTGGTGTTTCACGTCAGCTATGTATTCTTTTCCGCGGGTTTTGATATATCGCTTTGTTTGCCCTATATATGAGAGACCACATTCACAATCAAGCTTGTACACTCCTGCATCTTGTAAAGGAATATTGCATTTGACGGATGGTAAGAACTAACTTCTTCGGCGGCTTGAAGAATATTCTAATAGAAGCTCGATTCAAGATGTAGCCAATCTTGTCTGTGACACTTCTGACATATAATAGTACAGCAGGCACACGCTCTACTGTGTTACTGTGACGTAGGCGCGGGTCACGAAGCTTGTTGTCGTGCAGAGCCTGCTTGACGTGCTGAAACTCGGCGGCCAGGTGTTTGCTGTCACAGAACCCGCGTGCTCTCTGTAACAAAGATTTGCCCACGGTAGCTAACTATGAAGGATGATTGTGGGATTCACCGTTTAAATATCGGTTCGTATGGGTCTTTTTTCTATACACAGTGTGACGTATGGTGTTGTTAGGATTTCGAATGACTAACACATCTAGGAAAGCTAAAGAATTATTTACCTCTAACTCCATAGTAAATTGAATTTTAGAGTTAATGGAATTAAGATGTTCTAAAAATGCAATTACTTTGTCTGATGGTAAAATTGTGAAAGTATCTTCTACGTACCGCTTGTAGAACCATGGAGTAACAGGCTCAGTAAGCAGGGCTTTCTCCTCAAAGTCCTCCATGAAAATATCGGCGACAATGGGAGATACCGGTGAGCCCATCGCAACACCATCTAGTTGCTTGCTAAACTCTTCCTTCCACAATAGACAGTCAGATGTAAGGCAATGTCTGAGTAATACTACATATTCCGCTGGCATGGTCTTTTCCTATAGTTTCCTAGTTACAATTGAGATGCAGTCTTCAACAAGTAGGCATGTAAATTAAGACTGAACATCAAAACTGACCATGGTTTCATTGTCAGTAATCTTTTCGTGATATTTTATTATGAATTTCAAATATTTGTTAAAGTATATTTAATCTCCAAAAGTAAACATAAAATCACAGAAATCTAAATAATAAATTATTTAGATAATCTGTGCTTAAATTGAATAGCACGCTTAAATCTGCGTTCATAAATTTCACCGTCTATCTATTTCTTTTTACCGACCGTTTTAACTTCAAAAGTATTTAAAAGCAGATAAGCATAATATTTATGGCAAAATGTTTAATATATTTTTTATAAAACTGAAGCGACAAACGAATTCAGAGTCCACCTAATGGTAAGAAATAAGAGGAGGCCTGTGCCCAGCAGTGGAACGTATATAGGCTGTTTAACTTTAACTGATGGTAAGTGGCTTTTTTTTATAGGATAGTGTGACAAACAAGCACACAGTCCACCTGATGGTAAGTGGTTGCTATGGTCCATAGACATTTATCCTCACCCGTGAGGACTAAGTTGGAATGCCTCTTTTCCAGTAAAAAGGGTCTCCGGTTCTTTACACTCACCATACGAAAAACAGCAGTGTTAAGCTGTTATTTTACGCTGGTATTTTGTGAGAGCGTGGTCCTTCCCCGGTCGAGCCTACCCATTCTTGCTACAACTATACTACTAATATAGCTGCAGCATGGCTCTACCACGTATAACTACTGCAGTTCATGAACACATGCAGCAAACTCCAAACAAAGAACTAATGCCTTATCACCTCTGAAGACTAAGAGGGAATGCCTCGCAGCCTGTAACTGTGCTGGCCGTCTATGCCCTTCAAACTAGACCACAGCAGACCAAGCACTCCTATGTTACTGTTACATCCTTCTTCCCTTTGCTATTATTGGACAACCAGGCTGTCGGCGATTCTTCACCAATTTGTTGTCGATATTCCACGCATTCAAAAGTAAGCTTTATGGTTAATAATACAGACTACAAACTCGGAAAGTCGTGAGTTCGAACGCCATTTGACTATTATAATTGACCACTAAAGTACTAGCACAACCATATTAAGCTTGCCTGGACTGTGTGAGTGTTATTAGGTATTCTATTATACAAAAATAATCTAGATGGTAGAGTTCCTGTCCTGCCATATTACACTCACTGAAAGTAGCTTAATGATACGTATCTAGAAACCTACAAAAAAATAATTGTGGATTTTATCAATCAATGAGTCGTCATTCGTCTACTGATGTGATGCACTCCATTTTTATTATATAGTGTGTAGTGCATACGATTACCGGCCTTGCAGGGGCAAGGATGGGTTTTGTCTGACTTGCACCAACTAAAACCCCATATTATCAGGGCCACATAAACACTAGCACAGATCCGCGGACCCACCAGCGCCGGCCGCCGCATGACATTCCCTCATCATCCAGCGGCGCCTCGCAATACTGACACTCCTCTCTCCTAGAGACCCACTACCACCGCATCAGCGGTGCGACTCCACCTCCACTACAGCGGTTGAGGGAGAATACATTCTTCTCGCCGCAGCGCACCAACATACATCCGACCGCCCTCGGACCGCCCTTCACCTCGAGCCAGCCATGGGTTACTCTTAGTCCACCGTGGGTGACAAAGCCACGGCTACTATGCCCCCCCCCACCTCCCGCCACGACAAGGCAGAAACCTGTGTGAGGGGGGGGGGGGGCATGAAGCACTCATTTCAACTAAGAGTGGTAACGGAATATAAGTAATGTACGCTAGTAATATATAAGTCAATGAAATAATGTTAAAATCTTAAGGTTATCATGGAATTAGTCCACCGCGCCGCTCCAGTCCGTGTTGTCAAAGTTCATACTATGTATTCATATTTTTTTTGTTCATTTAGGTTTCCTCGCAATGTTTTCTTTCATCGCCAAGCATGTCCTTTTTACTGGAAACGAGGCGTTCCATCTTAGTCCTCTCGGGTGACAACGCATCTGCATTTTGATTCGCAAACGAGGATAGATGTAGATGTCTATAGGCCACAGCAACCATCAACTGGACTGTGTGCTCGTTTGTCACCCCATCCTATAAATTTATCCTATAACGAATTAAGGGTACCGCCGTCTTATCTATTTCTGTGTAGCAGTGCAGTACATGCACTATTGTCCGGTACGGTCTAAGGAGCGGGCATAGACAGTCAGTTTAATTACAAGCTATGCAACATTTCATCTTAGTCCATAGAAGGGACATTGCATTTGTGGTCTTCCTTGTATGAAGTTGGTTGCAGGTGTCTATTGGTGGCAGTACCAGTAGACCTTAGTTTGTTTGTCACTCCATCTGGCGGAGGTTCGCCCAACAGTGCACTTACGAGGCTGCAACTCGAGAACCTTTCTTCCCATTTGTTGTCAGTTTTTCGGGCGGTCCGCTTCGCTATGTCAATAACTATTGTTTTTCTGCAGACTAACTGCGAAAATATCCCTCCCTAGAGCTGGCCGAACGGTTTTGAGCTTCCTCATATGGGCAGCAGTCAACGACTACATAAATAAATATTATTAGAAGTACAATAAATAAATGTGTACCGCATATAATTTTATTAGCAGTTTTTAAGTTTACAAACAATCACTTTAATCTGCAAATCGTTTTAAGTTTTCGTAAATTGAAATATAGGTAGGAAATGAATTAACAACAAAACAGTAGATATTTATAAACGCATACATACTCAAAAACATTATTAAGATCACGTTGCAATTATCTAAGAACATTTAAAGTGATGATTTAAAATAATTAAAAAATTGTGTTACTTTTTTATAATATTTTTAATGTATACTTTTTCGTAAATTGAAATATAGGTAGGAAATGAATTAACAACAAAACAGTAGATATTTATAAACGCATACATACTCAAAAACATTATTAAGATCACGTTGCAATTATCTAAGAACATTTAAAGTGATGATTTAAAATAATTAAAAAATTGTGTTACTTTTTTATAATATTTTTAATGTATACTTTTTTTAATTACACTTCTAATGAATATATATTTAATATTGTCACTTGTTCTTCAATCTTTTTTGACCATCAGATTTAGGGGTACAAATATCACACGTAGGAGTAGGGCAGGTGCATATTTTGCACGAGTGGAGATAATATTCTTCGCCTACGGCATAACACCTTCCAAGGTTAATCATGTCTTCGAGATCACACCTGTTGGGAAATAAACACAGGAGATTTATTTAAATAAAACGTTACTCTCTACTCTAAATGCACACATTGCACGTGAACCATCACGTAATTGATTGTGGTAGATACTCCTAAAAATATTTGTCCCGCAAGGGAGTACATCCCTTGATTTGGCTTGCGATCCGCATTACCAAATGGTACTGGTCCTACAGGTCATATGTTCAATTCTCATATAGAACAACGCATCTGCATGTAAAGATCTGTGCGATCTAATTAGTTATTACACAGTACGTACATCGGCGACAGTTAATAGGTAATGGAGAGGTTCACTTCTGCCTGTGAGTCAGTCTAGGTTCAGTTGAGTTGAGAATATAAATAACTTGATTGGATAAGATTGGTTATCAAATGAGATGTTTCTTATGCTAGTTATTTATAATTTTTGCGGGGAAAAAGTAATGAAAAAAGTTGGTCGTCACGGGACGCCGGCAGATGTGAATAAATCATAATTGATGGTTGAATTAAAACTATTGTATATATAACTATTAAAACATTTGACATTGTTCCCAGACGAGTGGCACATTTTTATTAGAGATCTAATAAGATAAAAATTGACAAAATTTCTTGGTGTATTCCTTTAATTGAAATAGCCGTCCAAACAATCACTTGAGAGTGTCTCTCCATTAAGTGAGGATTTTCATGGCCTCAAAAATAATTCTGTTTAAACCTTCAAATAAAAATGAACTTCGGCTATATATTATGTGATTATAATGTGAACAGAATCTTTGGTTAGCAATGGATGAGTTGTAATTTTGCAAGTAATATAGCGTAAAGAAACTTATTGTTATTAATCATAGTGTATCTCGGTTCAGTTTAAATTTGCCGCAAATTTTCTAGTTGAATCCATTGCATTCTCAGAGCTTAACAACCTTATTTTCTGTAGTGACTGTGTTTTATGAACCAGGAAGATTATGTCAAGAGAATATTTGACGAAATTATCAGTAACTTCGTTAGAGGTGTAATAAATGTGTGAAAACTTTATTACAAACAATAAAGTAAGATAATTTTTTATTGCCTTGACGGTGAAGTGGCAGTGTGAGAATATCCACTACGCCATATCGTCATGTAGTTGTCGTAAGAAGCGACAGGGAAACAAACAAGGCGATGTGCTGCAGCGTCTTCCTAATGACTAGGCTTGGTCAAAAAATATCGATATATCGAAATATCGATAATTTTTATTAAATCGCGATATATCGATATTTCGATATTTGATTTAATTTTATCGAATTAGTATCAATCACTATAAAGTCACAATAAAAAAATTCGATACTGTTTAAAAATAAATATTCGACATATATCGATATATTTTTTCCCTTGCTCGTCCCTACTAATGACAACTAAAGCAAAAACTGAGGTTGCCAACGCACGTGCCAAGCGTAACAATTACGGCAAATATCCGCCCTATGAAATAATCTGTGGGGGAGGCCTATGTTCAGTGTTGGACTTTTCATATGCTGTAACGATAACCATTTTACTTCTAAACTTGGTACGCAAGCCTTTTTATGCTTCAGTATAATTTTTACATCTAGAATATAAGCTCTCGATGAGATACAGTTTTTCTTTGCTCGTAAAGATTCTAATTTTCTACCGACTTCAAAAAGGAGACGGTACTCAATTCGACTGTATGTTTTTATTGGAACGAAGTTCCTTATTGGACGGTACGGAATTGGCGGATGGGAGCTAGGCGACAAAAAGTGTAAGATTTTTTCGTCACTGCCCCTTGTGTCATAGTTTGCAAACATTTTTTATTTGTATTATTTATTTGTTTGTATTTAAAGAGCCTCGCAATATGATCGTTTGTCACCCTCACGGTGATCGGCGATTGGTTGCGTGGTTGGAGGGTGGGCATTGCGCGGCGGTTTGTTTTTAATTTTACAAACGGCTGCGTAAGTCCAGCGGTGATTGGTCGCATGTAGAAAGCGGTTGCGTCATCGGTCTGTATAAAAGGCACTTGTTTTGGCTCGCCGCTTACTTAGCGGTTAGCCACCGTAGAGTCTATATCACCTGAGGATGCCTCGTGTAGAGGCGAAACACGTGTCGTATTATCGTCAGTGGTGTGTCTTACCTAGTGTAGTGGTGTTGGGAGTAACGGTGCTGGGATTAGTGGTGACAGGGATAGTGCACGCAATTGAGGGAGGGCGGGAGGTGCTCTTCATACTAGGTAAGACACATCATTTTATTTTATAACGCGGGTATTTGCGAAGTAAAAAACTTTTCTAAAAGCTTTTATATAATGGATTTCCGCAAAGTAACGCCTGATTCTATTAATTGTTTGTATTTGTTAATCTTACTTACTTACTTACTTACTTATCTTCACGCACAATCCCTGACGGGGTAGCCAGAGAGAACAAATCGCCAAGTGTCACGATCCTTACATACCTCTTTCGCTTCTTTTAGATTCATTATCTTCTTCATACATACACGTCTAGGTATCCGAGTACTCTTGACCCTACCCTCTTCGAGCAATTTGCTCACATGGTCTTCGAAAGTTAGTCTCGGTCTACCTCGACACCTTTCAATATTAACTTTCGCGCTATATATTTTCTTCACCATTCGGTCTTCACTCATTCGCTCAACGTGCCCAAACCACCGAAGCACGCCCTTATCAATTTTGTGATAAGGTCATCTTTCAAACCTGCCATATTGCGAATCTCTTCGTTTCGCTTTCGGTCGGCCATGGTAACGCCGCACATTTTACGAAGAGATCGCATCTCCACTGCATTCAACTTGCTTTTATGCTTCTTCTGGCATACCCAGGTTTCGCTGCCATATAACAAAGTCGGTACCAACACTGCGTTATGTATAGCAAGGCGTGCACTCTTCACTACGCCTTGCCTTTTGACTAACGCAGTCAGGGCACCATTGACTTTGTTCCCGGCAGCGACACGCCTGTCCACATCTAAATCACATCTTCCATCCCGGCTAAAAGCACTCCCCAAGTATATATATATTTGTTAATCAATAATATATTACATTTATCAATAATATATATACTACGAAAGGAACTTTTATTTTTATTTTAAATGACTCTTCATTTTAATAGACGCTAGTAATTACTTTATTTGTATTAATTTTGTTAATCAACAATATAATACGTTTCTCATTTATAATATACTACGAAAGGAACTTCATTCCAACCTAGTGTTCCACGACACGTTTCCTCATAACTTTTTTCTGGCTGAACCGATTTCGATGATTCTTTTTTTATTTGAAAGCTGGTGCTTCTCATGTGATCCTATATAAATTTTATCAAGGTCTGATCAATAGTTTTTGAGTTATTCTTAATAATTTATATTAAAGTCGGTTGTACATAATTTTAAATTTTTAATTTTTGGGGGGCGTGGCTGCTCGTGTCCGTAGGAAATACTTGAAATCTGACACCCTACACGTGCCCCCCGGGTAGTGCTAAACGACCAGCACCAATTCCGGTGGTAGGTTTCGGCCGATGGCTTTTCTTGCCTGCCTGGCCCGCCAACTGGCGAAAAATCCCAGGGTGGCCCCATCGTGCCGGTTAGCGACCGGGCAAGAGGACCCGATGGCGATCTCTGGGGGGGGGGGGGGGGGGTCGGTCGTCCCCGCAGTCTCCAGATCAAGCTCCCATGGGCACAGTAACTCTGATAGTATCGTTTGGTTGCTAATGCAACGCCTCGCTCAACTGCCATTCTCCATTCTTATTCACTCTCAACACTTAATATGTACATGAAAAAGAAAAGTAGTGTTAAACAGCGGTTGCACGTCCTCTCACTAAAAGTACACCTCACTAATATTCGAGGATTGCACTCTATTCTCAGCGCAGTCCATCACCATCTTGAGACTGAAAAGCCGCACCTACTTTTCTTGACGGAGACGCAAATTGGATGTCCATTGAGTGCGGTGTACCTTGACTATCCTGGATTCTCCCTGGAGCACAATTTCCATCCACGTGCCGGAGTATGTGTATACGTCCGCAATGATATTTGCTTCCAGCGTCTCTGTCACCTTGAAGACCCTACTTTTTCGACAATCTGGGTGATGGTAGATACAGGTATTGATAAAATCCTTTATACCTGTGTCTATCGATCGCACAGCTGTGACCAGGAGACAACACGATTATTTGATCACCTTGGTGAGGCTGCTGACGTGGCCCTAAATCGGTATCCTACTGCACAGTTCCAGGTCTTTCTGGGGGACTTTAACGCTTGTCACCAAGACTGGCTATTCCCATACCAAAAGACCGACCATGCTGGAAGAGAAGAGTGGAATTTTGCTTTAACGCTAGGTCTTTCTCAGATGGTAAAGGTGGCGACTAGGGTACCCGATGTAGACGATCACACAGCAATTTGCTTGGACCTTCTGATGACTACCGAACCAGACAGATATGAAGTACAGGTTACTTCTCCTTTGGGTACATCTGACCACTGTCTGGTGAAATCTGTATCGTCATATTCTCCACCTGATTACGAGTCCCAAGGTGTTCGACGAATATGGCGGTATAAGTCAGCTGATTGGGATGAGATGCGACACTTTTTTGCATCTTATCCTTGGCGGGAGGTCTGTTTCTCTTTTGCGGATCCATCGAGCTGCGCGATTGCGATAACGGATGTGTTGCGTCAAGCTATGGAGTATTTTATCCCCTTCTCTGACGCTCCCACCGGTAGCAAAGCTCGCCCATTATTTAACGCTGAACGCGCCCAAGCTGAATAGCGCAAGCATTTAGCTTATCTATCCTGGGTTGACGCTCGAAACCGCAAAGCTCCGGATATTAGCTCCAAGAAGAGAACTTTCAACCAGACCACCAAGTCCTACAAAAAAGCATTACGGAAAGCTAGTCTTGATTGCATTAAGATCATCCGGCACTAGAGCTTTTTGGTCTCTCGCCAAAGCGGTCGAGACAACCTCCTATCGGCTTACACTGGTTGGTTAAACCGGATGGCACACTGGCGCATACGGCTAAGGGGAAAGCGGACTTGTTTGCGTCTCTTTTTGCCTACAATTCACGTCTGGACAGTGGCAACAACGTTCCACCAAAATTACCTCACTGCGGGACCTCTATGTCAGAAATTCGTATAACGAATAAGGAGGTTCTTAAAACCTTGCAGTGTCTAGACGTGAATAAAGCTAGTGGACCAGATGGTATACCAGCTATAGTCCTAAAGGCTTGTGCACCTGAGTTGTCTCCTGTGTTGACACGCTTGTTCCGCCTCTCATTTAGTATTTGAATAGTGCCAAAATCCTGGAAGCTGGCCAACGTGCAGCCTGTTTCAAAAAAAGGCAGCCGCGCCGACCCTGCAAATTATCGGCTAATCTCAATTACCTCCATACTCTGCAAGATTATGGAGCATATATTGAATGCCCGCTTAATGGCATACCTAGAACAGAGTGACCTCCTTAGTGACCGGCAATATGGGTTTCGCCGAAATCGGTCAGCTGGGGACCTTCTTGCGTATGCCACACACGTATGGGGTGAGGCACTCGAGAACAATGGGGAAGCACTTGCTGTTTCCCTTGATGTCTCGAAGGCTTTTGACAGAGTTTGGCACACTAGCCTTTTGGCTAAGCTTCCAGCGTACGGCTTATCCTCTGGTCTGATTGAATGGGTAAAGGACTTTCTGAGTGAACGGTCTCTCCGGGTCGTCGTCGATGGCTGCTCATCCGATCCTATGGCGACTAACGCCAGTGTTTCTCAGGAGTCCGTTCTCTCCGCAACTCTCTTTCTGCTGCATATTAATGATCTGCTTATGCCCGGTATCTATGGGTATGCAGACGATAGCACAGTTGTTGAGAGATACCAACCAAGTCCTCGGGCCAGTGGGGATCAAATCCAGTCCGAAAGAGAAGCTATGGTAGAGCGTGTGAATCTCACACTACAGGCAGTCTCCGATCGGGGCGATGCCAATTTTGTGAAGTTCAACGCCTCCAAAACACAAGCGTGTCTCTTCACTGCAAAATGGAGCCAGCTCAACTTGGCTCCTTCTTTCCGAAATGTATCACTGAAATATACCGACCGCCTGCAGTTGTTAGGCTTTAAAATATCCTCAAATTTGAACTTCGGGCGGTTCATTGAGCCCAAGGCCAAAGCAGCTGCAAGGAAGCTGGGAGTCCTTGCAAAGGTGCGGCGATACTTCACGCCGGAACAGCTGCTTACTTTATATAAAGCGCAAGTCCGGTCGTGCATGGAGTATCGCTGCCATATATGGGCTGGTGCTGCAAAATGCCACCTAGCAGCTCTGGACTCGATGGAAAGGCATGCTAAGAGGCTTATTGGTAACCCAAATTTGGTTAAAACCAATCTTACCAGCCTCGAACACAGACTTAAAGTAGCCTTTCGGTTTTCTACAGGATGCATTTCGGAGAGTGTGCGCAGGAATTACATAATTTAATTCCCCCCTCTCCCTTCCACCATCGGACAACCAGACGTTTGGCCAGTCTCCACCCTTTCGTTGTTGATTTACCACGTATTCGAACCAAATGGTTCGCCACGTCGTTCATCATGCGTACAGCAAAGGAGTGGAATAAGTTGCCAGCATCTGTCTTTCCATCCGATTACAGTGTGGGTGTCTTCAAGGCAAGAGTGAATAGGCTTTTGTTAAGTCAGTGCGCTTCACCATCTTAGGCTGCATTACCACTAACCATCAGGTGGGATTGTAGATAAGTACTGGCTCAGTAGAATATAATTTTTTTAAATTAAATACACGTATTTCCTCTTTACCGCGCCTGATAGTGAAGTGGGAAAAGAGATAATTATACTCAGGCAACCTAACATTTATCTTTTGGAATAAAAGAAAAAGTCACCAGTTTCAAATTGCTATTTTAAACATACTTGCTTTTTTCCAATTGCCTTGTCTCTATCTCGTTGAGCGTAGGTACTGCATATTGAACAATGCCTCCTTTACCAATAGTGATAGGTGTAGCACAAATATGCATGTCGTAGCACTTTTTAGGGTCTTCTTGTTCTACTAAAGCGCTGTCGATGAAGGTGGGTTTCTCGAAAAGACCTGCATAATATATAGGCGTTAGGGATATAACTAATTAGGGACATTATGGTACTGTTCACTTTCTTTTGCACCGCAATTCTTTAGAGTTAAATGTTTGCCAAGTTCACTTTCAGTAATTGTTAATGCCATCTAGTAGCGAAATAAGAGAATCCACTTCCCCATATCACACCGTGGGTGTCGTAACAAGCGAGAGAGAGAATCGAGTCAGGAGATGGGCAGCAGCACGGAGCACATTTTTTTTTTATATTATAAATTAAATATAAGTTAGTTGTAATATAATATAATTTTAAGGAATTTACTGTCGCCAGCGGTTTACCGGTACCAATACAACTTGGGGACTTTCAACCAAGAAAAGAGCCTACTCCTCTCTAAAAGGCCTGTAACACACCTGCAATTCCTTGGTACAACACCAAGGAATGTTCATTGGCGACGATCATCACTAACCATAAAGTGAACCGTATGCTCATTTACCTTCTCTTCCATTAACAAAAAAACAATGTTAGAAAAATTTCACCAAATATAAAAATATACTAAGATAAGGGAGAGTAATATGGTCACCTTAAGCTTCGCTGCCCTATAGAATAGAATAGAATAGAATAGAATAATTTTTTATTCAACATTGATTATTACATAATTCTTATTGAAAGTCATTTTTTATTTCCCACTGGTTCTGAAAATACCTCTGTCCTGGGAAGAACCAGCAAGAAACCCAGCGGGACTTTTTTTTTCAAACATATTTCACTTAACAATAATTTCGTTTACACAATTTTAAATGATTTATCATAGAACCAGCATGGTGGCGATCACCTTATTCCCAAAGGTTATTTTCATTCATGTATTCCTTGATATTATAATAACCCTCTTTGTACAGTCTTTCTTTAATATAACTTTTAAACTTTTTTATTGACAAACTTTGAATAGGTTCTGGGATTTTGTTGTAAAAGCGTATACATTGCCCCATAAATGAATTACTGATTCTGTGGAGTCTAGTAACTGGTATTACAAGCTTATGTTTGTTCCTAGTGTTTAAAGTATACACATCCTTATTCTTATTAAAGCTATTTATGTTTTTATGTACATATATTACATTTTTATAAAACCTAATACTAGGAGGAGGACAGGGACACATAGACGTATACTATAATTAATATATTTAAAGAAAATAGCAAACAAACTTAGGCAATAATTATGAACACTTCGAAAAATCAACTTAAAAAACTAACTACACTATACAATACTTACTAAAATCGACTATATCTATATCACCTTATGAACCATGTTTTAAGCAAATAAATGTTCTATTCTATTCTATTCTATTCTATAATATTTACTATAATGTCAACTGTCAAAATAGCGTCGATAAAGCAGCCCCCTTTTGACCCTTTATTATTTAATTGACTGATGAAGAGCTATCATATCACAAACCGTCTATGCAAACAAGGCTGTAGTTTTTGCTTTATAAGAAAGTAACCATATTAACCGGATGACAATATTACCCTCACATATAATAACGCCCCGTAAAATTCAAAATGCTTAGAAGAAATAAGAGAGGACTCAAATTTACCTTTCATAATATTAATTACAAATCTGGCAGTAGAGAAACCGACAGAGAGATGTCCTTGTTGGCCGTCACCCTTAACCTTACAAATTATCTCCTCAGCTTCTCGTACCAACTTTGTCAGGCACTCTACTTGCGTCTTAAAAAATGCAAAGTTATTATTACGATGCGTATAATTTTGAACTAACTTTTGAAAGCCGTCCCTAAAATATTTTTATTAAAAAAGTTTCCTTTACTTTAGATACTTTTACATCCAAGTATCTGTTACGACTTCTGTACATTATATTCGACCGCGAAGGTGAAGCTGTTTATTATTAATATTTTATTATTGGTGCTAAACAAAAATGAAATTTACCAACCAATACTCCCAATTAAACTTTATAAAGTAGTAGGCAATGCGATATCATGTTTAAATTTTAAAGCAGTTAAAACTCGGGCTTTATTTCGCGGAATCAAATTATAATAAAGAAGACAAACAATATTAATATGCAAACACATGTATAAGTTGGTGCTTGCTACGTAGTTTGAATAACACCACAAACCCTATAATGAGTCATTATAAAGTTTCCCGATTCTCCAACAGTTGGTTACCGTTTATCATTGCCAACTGATTTTAAAAAATCTTGAAGAGGTCGTGTACCTACCATGTTTTATTTTGTACAAAAAGCGCAGACACGATAGACTTTGACGCGCACGTTCAACAATGGACTGTTGTAAATTATGAAAAAGAAATGAACATAATAAATTTAAACTGTTAGGGAATGCAACTTCGTAATTTTAGTAAGTTCTATACATCTATTACTTAATACTATGTCCTTGAAAACTTAATATACATACCGAAGAAAAGCTTGACTTTTTCTAACATCGTTGTCGTTTGGTAGCTATTATAAAGCTTGTGTAGGTTGCAAGAGTGAATTACAGGAACTTGACTGTTTTTTTTAATGATTTTAAATTTCTAAAGCAATTATAATTTATTCAATATTATTTGATAGATAAACGGATATTACGTCGGATATTACGTAATGTCTGCAAGTGGGTAAGCTAAACGAGAAACAGTTATCAATCGTCCTATCAAGATTTAGCGCTGATATACGATACAATGGACACAGATGTTGTCATACGACGTAATTAATTTTGAGGTATGTCTGAATTGATATCGATCCGTTAACGTGTACATATTCATAACTACGTTAAGCCAAAAAAATATGGATTAAGAAAAGTATGAAAAAAGTTGTAGGAGGTTAGCCCGTCGCCTACACAACCACAAACTCAATATCCCCTTTGACGCTTATTAGGTCATTCTTGGCAAGTACCAAATTTAGCACATTCTTTTTTGTTACTTCTTCTTCTACTTTTTTCTTTTTTGTGTTACTATTACAGGCTATCAAAATCCACTGCTAAACATCGCCCCATACATTTCCTCATGGGAGGATCATCATCATCATCATTACAGCCCTTCACAAGTCCACTGCTCAACATAGGCCTCCCCCATGGAATGTCACAAAGAACGGTCCCGAGCCACCTATATCCATTGACTTCCTGCATGTCTTACCAAGTCGTCACTCCATCTAGTAGAGGGACGCCCTACACTTGCCTGCCGGTACGAGGCTGCCACTCGAGAACCTTTCTTCCCCGTCGGTTGTCGGTTCTTCGAGCTATATGGCCGACCCATTGCCACTTCAAATTACTAATCCTTTGGGGTATATCGCTTACTCCGGTTCTACTGCGAGTATCCTCATTTTAAGTCTATCACGTAGAGAAACGAGCATAGACCTCTCCATAGCTCACTGAGCAACTTTAAGCTTCCTCATACGGCCAGCAGTGAAGGACCACGTCTCAGATCCATAGGTTATCACTGGCAACACCTGTGCGGTGGTACAATCTAGTTTTGAGGTACTCCGGAAGAGAACATGTGTCGTAAACTCCCAAACGCTGGCCAGCCGAGTTGAATCCGTCGATTGACCTCTCGGTCGAAGTTGGACTTACCTAGTCGGACTATTTGTTCCAGGTAAACGTATTCGTCAACAACTTCGAGCTTAGTGCTCCCAACAACTATCGGCATAGGTGTGACATGAAAGTTAAACATGATTTTTGTTTTGTCCATGGTCCATCTTAACTCCTATCTGTTGGGAGAAACGATTGAGGTCGTTGACCATAGTGCTTAGGTTCTCCAACGATTCTGCCATAAGGACTATATTGTCGCCAAATCGAAGGTGAGTGATGTATTCGCCATTGACGTTAATATCGATCCTTTCCAATCCAGTAGCTTGAAAACGTCTTCGGGGATATACGTTTCGTACGCTGGTTCTGTACTCGGATAGCCATCGTAGCTACTAGCTACAAGCAACTTACAAACACTAATACAAACACTTCAGCACTTCAATATACCGACAGTCCAATTGGCACCGCCGAAGGGACTGCAGTATCGCCCAAATTTCGATGGAGTCAAAAGCTTTCTCATAGTCCACATACACAAGACAAAGTGGCAGATTGTACTCTTCGGTCTTCTGTAAAATTTGCCGAAGGGTATGTATGTGCTCTATGGTGCTTTCAGAAACCGGCTTGTTCGGGAGGCTGGAAGTCGTCAAGTCTGCGTGCGACACGATTCGTAATGACTTTCAAAAACAGCACATAGACGCGGCTTAGAAGGGAAATCGATCTATAGTTTTTCAAGAGAGCGTTGTCGCCTTTTTTGAAGAACAAGACCACCGCACTTCGGTTCCACGCCTCCGGAGTAGTCCCACCGTGGAGGACGGAATTAAAGAGCTTTTGAAGGACTTTAATTACCAGTTTTCCACCCGCTTATAGAAGCTCCGCTGTAATTCTATCCTCGCCCGGGGACTTACCGTTTTTAAGGTGCTGGAGAGCTATTCTAATCTCGCTTATGCTGACGTCCGGAATATCATCGGAATAGTATCGGATAAGATTTGCTCTTGGATCATTACTCACACTTGCGTATGGCTTCAACGATGACGTGTACAGCTGCCCATAGAACCTCTCAATCACACTCAAAATATCAGGTATCCCGGAAACGATGCTGCCATAGTCAGTCTAGAGCTTTGACAGTTGGTTCTTTCTGGCAGACAGATATTTGGCAAAGACTTTAGAGCCCTGGTTCCGCTCGATCGCTTCTTCAATACGAGCTGTATTGAAGTTGCGCAAGTCCCGCCGCATGCATTTGGAGATCTGTCTGTTCAGTATTTTTTTATAAGTTGTAAGTTGTTGCTGCGGCCCATAGACATCTATATCGCTCCTCAATAAATAATCAAAATGCAGATATGTTGTCACCCGTTCTCTCTAATCTGTTTCTAGGTACTGAAAACGATTTTGTAACTCGAGCTGAAAGTTTTCTGGGCTTTGGATTTAGAGCACGAGGGGTGGGAAAGTTGACTTCACTTTAGGTGTGACCTCTCCAACTTAAAAACGTTTAGGTTTAGTATGTCTCTCACCATTCGGTGACCGCTGCCAATTTTCTCCCTCGCGATCACTGAGACATCACTAAACAGTTGTCGAGTCATCCGGGCTCGATCGGGTCCACTTTCTGTTCTAATAAACTCTTTCTTCCAATAACGGCCCCGCTATTGGAACAATGAGTTTATCATAAAGAGTCCCTCTTGCTCTAGTTACTGGCCCCTTGATTTCCGTTGCCTTATTCCGAATTTCTCTACCTTCAGCTCACCGTTTTCTCTTGTGCCTAGTTTTGTATTGAAGTTTCCTATTAACACCGTATAGTGAGTTTTGAGGGAATGCATGGCTCTAGAGATATCCTAATACATTTCCTTTACCTCCTTATCGGGATGAGCCGAAGTTGGTGCGTAAACCTGTATGACCTTTAACGAATGCCGTTTGGTGATTCTGAATATAAGGCACGCAACCCTCGTCGACACTCTCCCAATCTTTACAACTTTGTTAACAAGAGACTTGTGAACGATAAATCCGACACCTCCTTGGGACAGATGGTCGTCCTCCCGATGATAGAACAAGTAGCAGGATTCAAGGATTACCGTGTTCTTCCCCTCTCTTCGAACCTCAAATAATCCTATAATATTTCAGCGCTACTTGTCTACATCTTCTCCCAGTTCCAGGATCTTCTCGTCAGTCCTCAGGGTGCGTGCGTCATATTATGTTGCCAGGTCGAGTCGTTGTAGGTAGCAACCGAACCTCCACCGGAGATTCTTAGCACCCCCTGCCCCGCCGTTACCATGGTCGCCACCATAGCTAGGAATAGCGGGGCCGCCGGAAACTGGGGGCCGTTTACTTGTGTCGTTGCTCATTGGGGGTATAGTGCCATAGTTGCCACGCTTGGCGAGTTGTTTGGCAACCGTAGTTTTTATTGCTTTTTCCTGTTATCAGAAAGATGTTGCCGCCCATCTTCTGCCTCAGTTTCCCTCTGTCGCCTCTTACAACACACACGGGAAGATATGGGGTAGTGGGTATTCCCAGCCACTATACGGGATATTTTTCATAAAATTCGTAAGAGGTGAAGAGGAAAACTGAACCAAAAAATAGGCAGAAACACCTTCCTAAGCAGAATAAAAATAAAAAACTGCGGTTGCAAACCAAGCGTGACAACTTTACCCAAAAAAACCCCTATGAGAAATGCCACGTAGTACATACAAAGGCAATCCATGGGGGAGGCCTATGTTCAACAGAGGAATTTTAACAGGCTGTAACGGTAATAGTTGTAAATGAAATACAAATGAAATTTTAGTAATATGCACATCTTCTAACAATCAAAAATAATCTCTGATAGTTTTGATTAGACACTATTTTTGTTAATAGTAGCATTTGATGCAAGAGAAGAAATAAGTCTCCCATTAAAAAAAATATTTACTGTATAAAATGTCAAACCAAAATTGAATGATGATATGAATTAACGTGGGACACTATATTGTTTAAAATTAAAAATAGTAAAATTGAGATTCTCCATTCATAAAAAAATATATCGTGACCGTAACTTATACACATATATAATAAAAAAATAACTCCCATACGTGACCACCACACTGAATATAGGAAAAAAAAATACTTATTGTAAGGGTTACCTGGGGGAAGTTTCCCGCTTTACCCATCGAGAACACGGGCACTCTTGTACACCTGCCGGTACCACAGACCACTGGCATGTGGGAAGTACTGGGGTCTTTACCGGTGAGAGAACAGAACAGCTGATTAGCGCGCATGGAGCTGATGGCGTTCACGCCCAATAAGCGTCGCTTATCGTATACCCCAATAAGCTTAAGGGTCTGAAGAGTATTGAGAAGGTAATTAAGAATCTGATTTTAATTCACAAAATATTTTCATGTTAAAGATGTAAAACCTAATTAACTAAAACCTTGTCTAGCTCTTGAAAATTATTTAATTCACTCCGTTTTATTTTAGCTCGTAAATCATAGTTAAACAATTCACGTCTTCAATAAGTAATCAGGGATTATGATTAAAACTAGAGAAGTATAATGTACGTAGTACTTCTATATAATCTCTATGATTATAATCGTTTCTTAGTCGTGATTACTACATTATTAAGGAACATTTAATATCAAATTGAAGCCTACCTTCTACTACATAGATGTAAGGTTAACAAACAGTTAATCCAAGATCTCTCAAGACTGTGCTTATATAGATATCAAAAATTCAAAAGTATTCATCATAGGCATTGAATTTTTGAGAAAACTGTTAATGAATGGTTCAGTTAACATATTGATACAATCGAAAATTTGTACTATATTATGATTACGGTTTCAAGATCTCCTTGAATTCTAATATGTTTAACTTATGTCAGAATAGCAGCGAAAACATAAAGATGATATAAACTAAATAATTGAGAAACGTAACCGTGTAGTGACGATGTAGGAGTATCCACTACCTCAAATCATTCCGTGGGTATCGTAAGAGGCGACACAAGGAAACAAAGAGATGGACAACAGCGACTTCTCAATAACATCTAGGAAATAAAAAGCAGCGGTTGCTAACTCGACTGCCGTGCATGGCAACTAAGGCAAATATACCCCCATGAGGCAACTTATGGGGGAGGCCTATGTTCAACAGTTTGGTACTGCTGAACGTAGGCCTCCCTGCTGCTGATAAAAGGATGATATAAATAAATGATGAATGAGTTCATATTGGGGTCGCCTTGTACTAGCGGCGTAAGAGACTTCTTCACCTTATTTTTCCCGTGGGTAGTCGTAGGTGGCAACTGTGGAAGAGGCAAGAAAGATCTCGTCTCAATTCAATAAATATATGTTTTTTGTATATATATATTGCGCAAGATTTTCGTTAATAGTGTACCGATTTTAATGATTCTCTTTTTATTGAATAAGTTATACTTCACTGGTGCTTTGATATAAATCTGTTTGGGGATGAATGTAGACGATATTGAGATTGAGATATTCCATAATCCACTCACAAGAGTAAGAAAATATCTTATAATAAAAAATAAAAGCAGACTTAAAAGAATAACAGTATAAAATAATTTCACATTCTGAAGTCATGGTTTTAATTCTACTACATTAGCTCCGACTCCGAAATGTAAAATTATTTCACTCTTAGTTCTTTAATATCGGCGTTTATTTTTTATTAAAAGTTATTTTTTGTGAATGTGATAATCTGAAAGTATACATACATTCATGCAGAGTGAAAAGTTGCAGTCAACCGGTGGCGTCTGTATAGCAAGAACCGCGTGCGGGCTGAAGCGTGCACATGCGATGCACGCAATACGCACTCGCTCCATGTTTTTGAAAAATAAATCTCGGTCTAAAACATTGCAACATGGTGGCATTGCGTAGTAACCGCCACAAATTAATACCACATCTGAATCCTGTAATAATCAATAACCAAAAAAATATTTATAGTTAAATAACCCATTACATATGGAAGTAACCGATAGGGAAGTAAAGTTCCCGAGTGGGAGCCCCGTACTGATAATAGCAGTGTTGGGCGAACCCCCACTAGATGGATTGAAGATCTGATGAAACGCGCAGGGAGTACGTGAATGCAGGTAACTCAGGATCGTACTTTGTGGCAATCTATGGAGTAGGCTATGCTCAGCAGTGGACTTGAGATGGGATCTAGCGATAGTTATATTGAGGCCATAATTAATACTTTTACGTATTTGATACGCATCATATTGTTCGAATTCGGGAGGTGGAGTCAAGAAATTCTCGGTGGCAGTGCGGTGTCAGGAAAGAAGGTGTCAGGAGTTAGCAGGTTAAACCGGTTTGTATTGCAGCCATAATATAACTGCAACGTGGTTCCAATTCAGTATTTACGACAAAGAAACCATATATTAGATTTTGTGTACCATGTATTGGCGTTGTACGAATATTTACTACCATAACACAAGGTTATTTTTCAAAGAGTAGCCAAATTTTAAACTTAATTTCAAATATATAAATAATAATATAATGTTATTGTAGTTTTTGAAAATACGAGTAGTATATTCTACTTTTATTTGAAATTAACCCAAATTGAATATGGTTTACGGGCAACAACGTTTTTGCCTACCGATCGACGCTTACGAATGATTGCGTGCGCAGTAAAATCAGATGTAAAAATAATGCATTGCCACGCATTTTGAATTTAAAAGATGAAAAGGACAGAATGTTTCAGATTTTTTTAATCAGGTTTTCTTCATCATTTGTCTATATTACTTATTCTGAAGTGGGTGTTGAGCCTTTACATGAATTTAGTTTTGCCCTTCCCCAGCCTAGTTTCAAATACGCGCTAATAAAATATAATTACAAAATGTCTTTACGTGAAGAGCATCTTTTAGATGTACATGGCCTTGGTACGCCTCCACTTCAGTGCTGGTGTCTATATGAGCTATATCACTAGCGACTCCAAGTACACATGCTTCCGGCTCATCGTCGTATAGAGTCAACGTTTTGATTACTTTCTGCTGCTTCAAGAAAAGAGATGTGATGCGACCAATGTCACTGCCTGCTCCCATTATTGTTACCTAAACGAAATTACTTTCAGTGAGCATTAAAAAAAATTTATGTATAAAAAAATATAGTTCAAATAGAAAAAATGTTTTTCTAACAATAGACGGAGGAAAAAGTAACAAGTCCAGGTGATAAAAATGGCTACTGCAGCCCATGGATACCTAAACCTATACTGTTTAGTTCAGCAGATATATGCAAAATACGGAATCTAAAATACGAAGAACCTACTAAGAGTAGATACTACACGTATCTAATAAACGTAACGCAGTAAGAAATCTTTATTTAAAAGGTAGATCATACTCTTTGCCTCTATTATATAAGAAGAAGGTTATTTACAGCCCGTAAAACACCAGATGGAAATTAAACATACTGGCAAGCATCATGTTGCATCCCTTTGCATTTTCTTTCGCATTTATCGCGGGGAGTGCTCTGAGGAATTGTTCGGATTAATCCCAGCCGCCAAATTTCACGAACACACATCGCGGCAGAACTCCCGATACCATCCACACCATCTGGATGATTGGCGGTCCACCACTGTGCGATTTAGAAGATGTTTTCTTCCTCGCACTACTTCCTTGTGGAATCGATTACTATCAGCGATTTTTCCGGACCGATACGACTTAGGGACCTTCAAGAAAAGAGCCTACTCATTTTTAAAAGGCTGGCAACGTATCTGCAATTCCCCTGGTTCCTCTGGTGTTGCGGTTTTTCATAGGCGGCGGTAGTTACTTACCATCAGGTGAGCCGCATGCTCGTTTGCCCCCTCTCCTATAAAACCATCGTCATTGTAATCTCCAATTATATTACACAAGATGATAATGGTAAAGTGTAAATTGGCCAAAGATTATTTGGCATAATATATTATGGCAGATATTTTCTCCGGATTCTTTTACTTCTGAATCTTAGTAATTTTAAAAAAAGAAATAAATTTTCTATGAAATCATAATCAATAAAGCAATTAAAACAAAGTTAGATGGTTTTTAGGGCAAGACAATGTCCACCGTTCTTTTACGTGGTAGAGCTATGCTGCAGCTATATTAGTAGTATAGTTGTACCACGAATGGGTCGGCTCGACCGGGGAAGGACCACGCTCTCACAGAATACCAGCGTAAAATAGCAGGTGACAACGCATCTGCATTTTAATTTGTAATAGAGGATAGATGTAAATGTCTATGGGCCGCAGCAACCACTTACCATCAGGTGGACTGTGTGCTCGTTTGTCACCCTTATCCTATATTAAAAAAAACCGCGCTGCTCAATGCGTGTTGGCGGATTTTACATATCTTCGATTTTTTTTTAAATTTCTCAGACATAAGCTGCATGTTTTCTTTACGATGTTTTCCTTCACCACCGACCAAAATATAAATTAGCTCTTAAAATTGTAATTAACTATTTCATTAGTGCCGACGGAGATTGAACCTGGATTGCTCGCGTTTACAATGAACGCTTAGCTGCGGCTCTCATTATATATCTAATATTCAATTTTATTTTATAGAATAAGAGTAACAAGCGAGCGCACAATCCAACGTGATAAGTGGTTGCTGCGGTCCATATACATATTTATCCTATCCTAGTTTGGGAGTCAGGGCTCAATGATGTTGTATGAAATAGTAGTGTCAAATAAAGATATTTAATATTTATTATTATTATATATTAATCCATTAAAAATCAAAATTCTGATGACTTGTCACCCCTAAGGGCTAAGATGGAATGCCTCGTTACAAGTTAAAGGGTCTCCGGTTTTCTACACTTGCCATACGAAACACAGCATTATTCTGCTATCTCTCGCTGGTATTCTGTGAGAACGTGATAACATGATAGCTGCAGCATAGCTGTACCACATGCAAATAGTTATGAGAAACTAGCCTTTTGTGGAGGAACACGCGGCACCGCACAAAATTTCTCACATTCGCGTTCTATTTGGGCCAGGACATCAGACATGACATAGTTTTTATATTTTGCGTTTGGTGTAACTATCCAGCCGCTGCGGATTAGTCTCTTGCATATTTGCTGGAACATCCTAATGATTGAATTGTTACTAAAATTTTGATAAAGGGAATTTGTTGTGACAATATTATTTAAAACATTTTAGATTTGCGGTATTTCTTTTGGTGAAATGAATATGTATGTATAATGATAGTTTCTATGAATTTCTGTGAAGTGAATGTTGACGGATATAGTTTTCAAATGAACGTCGTTGTCATTATAAAACCGCAGATAATCAATATTTTAATCCTCTTTATATTAGAAGAAATTAAGAGAATAATGACATTTATGAAACGTGGTCCTTCGCTGCTGTAGAACCAGCGAAACCCATATTGCTCATCGGATCAATAAGCCGATGTAGCAATAGCACAGAATATATAATAGCACTACGTAGCAAAAGGCCGGAATATAGCTCGAAAAACGGTTCTCGAGTAGAAGTCTCATACCGGCAAAACCGTGCATTAAGGCTTGTATATATAGAGGTCAGTGATTAAGGCATTCCTTGAGTGAAGCCTGTGTTCAGGAGTGGAGTTGTGACGATAATGATGATGATGATAAAGAGAATATCCGGGCACCGTTTGATACAGTATCTATAACTACCTGTCATGATGCCATGTTACTGTGTTTAGTTTTCTTACAAAATTTTCTAAAACTAATAAAACTGTCCAGTTATAAAGAGAAGAAACACAGGGATACGGGTAATTATTTTGTCAATATTTCTTAGATATAATCAGTTGCAGTTGTCTAGCTATACCATCTACTTAGTTGGCAAAATAATATAACTCAGTCTGTATGAATAACAATAATATTTAAATTTAAAATTCATTGACGACGTATTATAAATCTGTACTAAAAAAGTTTCTCTTTTTTATTTGGATTACCAACTATTGATAAGTACATTATAACATTTTTAAAGAGAATTTACGGTAGTCTTATTTATAAATGTACCTACAATCACTTAAAGGACATCACAGTATCCTATTAATTTACAATTTAATACTATTTACGTAACCTAAAGAATCCTTAATTTTTAAAGAATGTGATATTGTGTGCGTGTGTGTGTTCTTAAACACTAAAGTCACTAAACCGCTGTAATCTATAATCAAGCACTCTATCATCATTTATTCTATAATAATATAACAAACGTGCAAACTGTCGCCAATGGCTTTCGCAGCCCATCGCCATCGACACTGTCTCGTTGCGTTGTTCTTGTGGCCGTAAGTGCAACTTCTGATTGACCAAAGACTTCTGCATACTACGGTCATCATCGTTATCATCATTACAAGAAATGCCACAATGCACGGTCCTCAGCCACCTGCATCCATCAACTTCCTGCAGGTCGTCAATCCATCTAGTGGGGGGACGCCCTACACTTCACCTACTGGTACGAGGTTGCCACTCGAGAACCTTTTTTCCCCACCGGTTGTCGGTTCTTCGAGCTATATGGCCGGCCCATAATAGGTAAGTTATTGTTCGCGCCAAACACTGTCAAGAATCGACGCCAGATGTCACTCGGCTCGGCGCGATACCGGTTTGAAGTTCGGCCGAGCGTGGCAAGTGGCGCGCGGGTCGCGAGCGAAAAGGCAGTAGTGGTCTGCTAGCTGTGCTAATGCCTGCACGCTGTCAATTTTTGTTAGGGAACTCGGAATAATTAGGCGCGGCCCGTAAATATACGGTCTAGGATTTTGTGACGCGCATTCCTGCTGGAGAGCTTCCCAAGGACTCATTGTGTCCGACTCAGAATTTGCATAGGTGCATTCGGCAATATTAGCTAGTGCGGCCGTTGATATTCTAGAACTAACTGTTGCTACGCGAAACGGTAGTGACCTTTGATCCGTAAACTCCGTGAGCGTTTTGTGCGTTAACGTTATACCCAGCGATAGTTAGTGGCTTCTGTAAGTTAGTTAATCGTGACGAACGAGGAAAGTGACTGTGGACAACGCCTCGGAAGGCCCCTCAAGTTGGAGCGGTGTCGACGCTCGGGCTGCTGCCGACGGCCAAGGTCTAGGTTCAATCACCATCAGTCACACCCAGATACACATCACATCACTTTATTTCCCTTGCACTACACAACCACATGCGACCTGACCGACTCCGGAGGGACCAGTCGCCTTGGATATAGGTAAGTAAGCTACGTCCAATTCCTGATACAGCTGCTGCTACGGAGGTTGGGGCAAGGGATAACGTTGCGCCGAAAGAGGATATCAACCAGTCGTTTGAAAGAGCTCAGTTAGAAATACAGGATAGCAAGACGCCTAAATTAGGGCGAATGATCGATACCTCTTTATTTACTGATATAGTAAATGCCATTACTGCCAAGCCATTACTGAAAATTTTAGAATCCCAGTTAGTCACTAAAATTAAAGCGGCGGTTTTGAGTATATCAGAACAAGAGATCACCCGGTTAAAGACTGAGTTAAAAGAAGCTAACGAAAAATGTAAATTAGAATATCACTCAGCATACGATAAAAACCAGAAATAAAACTCACAAACCAAGCAGCCACAGTCAGCCGGTAATCTCAATTTCGGAGTAAAGATGGGAAGCCATGAAAAATCTTGTATCGAACCATCCGCTATCGGTACACAAATTATGACAAGTTATGCGTCGGTGGCCAGGAGTACGGTGGGCATCTCAGATGAAAAGGACCCTCGAATTCAGCAAAAGAAGACAACGACTTGCAATATTGATAATTGGACTGAAGTGAAACCTAAAAGGATGAATCCGATTAAAAAAGGAGGCAACTCATTTTTTCTTAAAATGAAAGCAGTAGAACGGAAGAAATACTTACATATATGAAGACTACTCACAGAAACTACAGAGGATAATTAATTAGAATATATACGTGAAGTATTAGGAGAAGAAAGCTACATAAAGGTGGATAAGTTAAACCAGTAAACCGGAAGCGGATACTCATCATTTCGAGTCTGTGTATCTGAAGGTAATTATGAGAAATTATGTAACCCTGACATTTGGCCATTAGACGCTGAATACAACGAATGGATTTGGTTTCGTAGATCAAGCAAGAACCCACAACTCACAGGGCAAGAATCTACGAATTAAGAGCATACATATTTTATATCAAAATGTAAGAGGTCTAAGAACAAAGACATTAATTTTATATCTTTACTCGAATCTTCTGGTTCGGATATATTTGCCATCACAGAGACTGAATGCAACGAATCGATTCATAATATGGAGAATATACCACCTGGCTATTCCATATTGTGATGTGATCGTGCCGATGGACGTCAGCAAGAAGGAGTACTTTTAATTGCTCCACCGCAGTTAGAGATAAGAGAAGTAGCGATGTCCTGCGATATAAATATAGATATTTGTAAATTCGAATTAATTTGTGCTACTATTCACATTCGGAACACTTTTTATTTACTTGTTGTTTAGTATATATTCCACCACAGACGGCAGATAATGAGTATATAGTAATGTTCAATCTGTTAGAAAAAATATATATTAAATATAAAAACAATGTTGTAATAGTGGGAGATTTTAACTTGTTTTCATGCACTAACTATGTACTCAATTTGTATGAATATTTAGTAGCCTTCTGTGAACTTGTTCAGTGTAATACGGTCCCAAACTGTAGTGGCAGTTGACAGTTTGATCTTGTGATGAGCGGGCACGACAACGTGTCGTTATGTGCGGGAGATGAGGCCTTACAGGCCCGTAGACGCGTACCATTCCTTCCTCGTAGTGACTGTCAACATGCCATCAGCGTGCCACAGACAGACCAATGATCACCGTGATCCGACTCAGGTACCGTATAAGCAATGGAATTTCAATAAGGCTGACTTTAATTATTTATATTATTTAATAATGACTACTGACTAGAATAAAATATATAAGGCAGAGATCGCACTCGCTCACGAAACTTATCAAAATTGCGTAAAGAACCATCTGGCAACGAACCCGAAAGCTTTCTGGGACTACGTGAGGTTAAAAAAAAGGTAACTCTTCCCAACATCATTTAATTAAAAATGGAAGAGTCCTATCTAATCAGGAATGCGCTGATTAGTTTGCACAATTTTTAATTCCGTGTTCAACCAAAAACCGTCTGTACTGGACGTGTCAGCAGCGAGCGCGGCTTCGAGAGGTAGCGCATAGGTGCATCTCGCGGCTCTACAGCTGGCAGAGGTGGGCCGCGCGCTCTCTCGACTAGTGCCGAAGCGCTTGGTAGGACCTGACGGTATACCACCGTTTATTTTTAGGGATTGTCGCTTTGCTCTGGTGGAACCATTACTACATTTGTTTAATACCTTCATCGTGACCGCGACCTCGCCTGATATGTGGTAGCTTACTCGATTCGTTCCAGTGCCGAAAGGTCGTGGAGGTCCGGACCCTAGTGACTACAGACCTGTAGCGATATTGTGCATATCAACTAAGGTATTCGAATCGGCCATTCACCACTGCTTTTATGTGCAGGTATAAACTCTGTTATATGACGCATTGCTGCTGCATTTAATGTCACAAGTAGTCCCAGCAGTTGATGCAGGGATGCAGGTTGATGTGGCCTATTTCGAATTTCGGAAGGCATTTGATATGGTCGATAGAGATACCTTGATGTCGAAGTTGGCCGGAGTAGGCTGCACACCACATACGTTGAAGTTCTTCGCCAGCTACTTGCGTTACAGACGTCGGTACGTTGACTATGGGGGGTACTATTCTGAGTAGTACTTTACAAGGTCAGGGGTCAGTCAAGGAAGTAATATGGGTTTTCTCCATTTTATATTATGATAAACAACTTACCAGAGGTGATCAAGGAATCGACTTGCCTTTTATTTGCTGATGACCTAAAATTAGTTATCGAAATAAGAGATACCTTAGAGCATGCTAGACTGCAGAGGGATATAAATGAGGTCATGAAGTGGTGCCGGAACAATAAACTTTATTTTTACGTGGGCAAATGCTCTACGTTGTCATTTAGCCGAGCACATGCTCTACGCCATCGTCCATAAAACATGGATGGAGAGCAGCTGCAACGTGACATGAAAGTAAAAGGTCTGGATGTTCACTTCAC